AGGCCAATGTGGCTACGTATTTAGCTTGAGTTAGCTTGGTTAGTCTTGAGTTGTATTGTTGAGGGACAGGTGGATTCGATCGTTATTGAACTTGTTAGTGATCTGGGGAGATCTATGAGTTGCTTTTTCTGTGCTGTGAGGCGTTATGATTTGTTGGTTATGGGCACACGTGGTGCAGATCTATTGGGGATTCATGGTGGAAGTCGAGCGGGAAGAGTAATCGGATGTTGCTCGGTAAATGGAGTATGGATTATGACCTATCAAGTGGCGTGTCGTATGTTGTTTATTTCACTGTGGGTGCAATGAATTGCCTTGGTTTCAGACATCAAATTGCGTGTGGCTGTCGAATTTTGATCTCAGTGTCTTGAGGTGCTCCATGTGTAACAGTGTTTGGATAGGATCGCGCATTGTAGCGAGGCTGCGTTGAGTTATGACCTTTCGGGGTAGATTCAGGTGTTCTATTTCTATGTTGTGAGACGGGGTCTCAGCCTTGTGTTGTGATGATACTGATGAGCTTGAAGTACAGCTCTTTTGTTTGAGTTATTTTCATGATTTGAGTATATTCATGTCGTTTCTTGTTGGTACGCGTATTATGCAAGTTGTGGCTTAGGCCTGTACTGAGGTATCATATCACCAGAGTGGTGTGTTGGATTCGAAGCGATCCTTAGAGTCATTAATGAATACGAACAGAATTGATTGCAGCTTGTTAGAGAGATAATATCAAGGTATGGCCCGAAAATCCGTTGTGATAATAGTCAAAGGGAAGTGGCTTCATGAATGGTTGATCTGAGGAATGGTTACGGTTTATCGCGTATTTCTTTTGTTGTTGGCAGTACATGGAAGTGTTGGAATAAGACTTTAGCTAATAAAAGGTTTTCTATTGGCATTCGGTTATTATGGGCAACTGCTATAAATAGAGGCTAACGTTTCGAGTGTTCGGATTATGTGGTATATCATATGATTTCACCTGAGGCTGCAAGTATGGGTTATTACAGCTGGATCGGGTTTATTCTGGGTATAGATGTGAGGTTCCGATATTGTGTATGATTTCGGAAAGTGCAATGTGGTTCTATGGTTTATGGTTTAAATAGACTGTGAGATTTTGGCTATATTGTGTTGTCGGACCTATATGAGATAGGGTGACGTGAGGTCACCCCGGGTATATGCTTGGTAAAGTTATTCAACTGTTGGTTAGCTTCTAGGACAAACTCTGGGTACGCTCGAGGACGAGCGTTGGTTTAAGTTGGGGAGGATGTGACGACCCGACCCGTCGTCTCATGTGTTATGGCTCCGCTTTCCCCATTTCATGCTTCTTCATGTTTCGTTATCGGTATGTGGTGTGTTAGAGTTGTTTTGGATTGGTTTTAATAAGAAATGAGACACTTAGCCTCTTTAAGGAAAGCTTAAGTTGGAAAAGTCAACCGAATGTTGACTATTTAGTTAGAAGGCTCGGATGTGATTTTCGGTGATTCGGTTAGCTTCGGGGGATGATTTGTGACTTGGGAGTGCGATCGGAATTGATTTTGGAGGCCCGGTGTAGAATTAGGCTTGAATTGGTGAGGTTAGTATTTTGGCGAATTCCGGTGGATGGGTGAGAATTTGATCCGGGGGTCGGAATGGAATTCCGAGAGTTGCTGTAGCTTCGTTAAGTGATTTTGGATATGTGTGCAAATTTTCAGGTCATTCGGACATCGTTTGGTCGGGTTTTTGATCGAAAGTGCATTTCGGAAGTTCTTGAAGAACTTAGGCTTGAATCCGATGTGAATTGATGATTTTAGTGTTGTTAGGTGTGTTTTGATGATTGGAGCAAGTTCGTATGATGTATTGGGATATGTTGGTGCCTTTGGCTGAGGTCCCGGGGGCCTCGGGGTGATTTCGGATGGCTAACGGGATGAAATTTGGACTTGGAGACTTCAAATGTTGCTGATATCTGGTATTCTCGCTTCTACGAGTCTTGGACCGCAGAAGCGGACCCGCTTAAGCGATGGGTTGACCGCAGAAGCGGTGAAGAGGCCTGGGCGCCTGGTTCCGCAGAAGCGTTGGCATAGCCGCAAAAGCGGGATCGCTTATACGATGTTGTGACCGCAGAAGCGGTTTGGTTCGAGAGTGGGATTTCCGCAGAAGCGGAAGGAATAGCGCGGAAGCGGTCCCGCAGAAGCGGGATGGGGACCGCATAAGCGAAAGTGCTGGGCTGATTATTAAATATTTCCTCCGCGAGCTAGGTATTATTTTCCCCCATTTTTGAGCGAGCTTTGAGAGCTTTGAGGCGATTTTGAAGAGGGATTCAAGGAGGAATGATTATAGGCAAGTTCCTTGGCCTAAATACTCGAGATTTTGTTAGAATTAACATGGAAATTGGTTGGAATTCATTAAAAAGGGGTAAAGCTAGGGCTTGAGTTTTTGATATTTCAAATTGGGATTTGATAGGTCATTTGAGCTCGGATTTGGGAGTTCTTGGTATGTATGGACTCGTGGCGAGACGAGGAATACGGTAATGTGAATTTTGTAACTTTTCGAGAAGCGGGCCCGGGGCTCGGGTTTTGCTAGTTTCGAGATTCTTGCTAATTTTCGATTGTTTTCGTTTGGGTATTGGTCCCTTAGCATATTGTGATGTATTCGCTCTGGTTTTGGTTAGATTTGACGCGCGTGGAGGCCGATTCGAGGGGCAAAGGCGTCGCGGGCTAGAGATTTCGCCGGTTCGAGGTGAGTAATGATTGCAAATGATACCCTGAGGGTTTGAAACCCCGAATTTGCACCCATAATGCTATATTGAGGTGACTTGCACGCCAGACAGAGAGCGTGGGGTAGAGCACCGTTGGGGATTGTGACTTGGTCCGTCCCGGTTGTTGATTTTACCGCGTATTTCGCTATGACTTGTTGTTTTTCACTAGGACTTGGGCTTATTGTCATATTTGGGGCTTATTGCCGACTGTTTGAACTCCCTATGAGCTATCATCACTGTTTTCCTCACTATTTGAAATATTATTTGAACTCAGTCCATTGTCATTACACTGTTTCATGAACTCAGCTATATTTTCACTCAACCTCGAGTTTTAACTGATATTTGAACTATTGTTTGAGCTAAGCATTTTTGTTTCTTTACTGATGCCCGAGGGGCTTATGATTATTTTTGGACTGATTGAGGCCGAGGGCCATATGTGAGGATATGCTGAGTGATGTGAGGAGGCTTCTAGGCCTCGACTGTATTATGAGGAGGCTTTCAGGCCTCATGTTGATATGTACAGGCTTTCAGGCCTTATGTTGATATAGCGCTTGGGCTGTAGGAGCCCCTCCGGAGTCTGCACACCCACAGTGAGCGCGGGTACCCATTTAGAATTGGACAGTGGTAACAGTAACACTGTCATTCGTGTTTTGGTCAGGTAACAATGGCTGACCAGTCAGGTAACAATGGCTGACCAGTGGTAACGATGGCACTGAAACACGCATTGGGTCAGGTAACAATGCTGACCGGTCAGGTAACAATGACTGACTAGTAACGAAATTCGTGCCCGAGGGGCGAACTTTTATGTGTTCATCTTGCATGCTTATTTGCATTATTACCTGCTAATCTGTGATATTTGTGCCCGAGGGGCGGATTTTCTGTGTTAATCAGCACTAACTATTTTGAACAGTTTCGTAATTATTGAAAGGTCCATTTTCGAAAGAGATTTGAACTGAGCCGAAACATTTCTAAAGAATACTCTGATTTCACTGTTTTCTCGGAAATTGTACCCGGCTTCTGTACAGCCCGTTGGTTGCTTTACGTGATTTCTTGCTGCTCAGTTATTATTTACTTCTATTACTCACTGAGTTGGAAGTACTCACTTTACTCCCTGCACCTCGCGTGCAGTTGCAGGTATCGTTCACCCGGTAGCGGGTTATTAGCGGATCGAAGGTATTATTATTGTAGCTGAGCAAGGTGACCGCCAGCGTTCGCGGCATCGGATGTTGTCTTTTGTTTTCCAGAAACTTTACTTGTATATATTTATTGGCCTGTAGTTGTGTTAATATTTTCTTTAGATGCTCGTGACTTGTGACACCCCGGTCGGGTTGTGTTGGGTTGTATATACTGGTTATTATTGTCGTTAAGCTATATTCACCTATTCATTTATGTTCAAAAATTGTTAAAGAAACGGATTGGGTTAGTTGGCTGGCCTTGTCTTCACGAGAGGCGCCATCATGACTGGGTATGGAAATTGGGTCGTGACAATAAGAAAAGAGGCAAGTAGAGGCAATTTAAAGTTAACTTAAATAGGTGACAATCCATTGTAGATTAACTTCACAACAAATCCATTTCATCTTATCAAAGAAATATTGATAAAGAACCACGATGACTTCAAAGGAGACAAAGAAGCTTGAAACTACTTCACCGTGCAAGAGAAAATATGAGCAACACTTGCACCAAATTCAAACAAATGATGGAATCTCTCAGCCTCCTTGGGAGTCGTAATCTGCAAAAGAAATCATCTAAAACATCAACAATGTTCAACAACAGAGATTTCCCCACCAAAGCTCAAGGGCAATGTTCATATAGACAGAGAGATCTGTTGACGATCATATTATAACTTGCCAGCCCCATAGCCAGAATGGTAAAGAACAGGAATAAAAACTTTTATACATTCTGTATGACCAACTGCAACTGAAAAACAACAGACCAAGACATAAAACAATCATGAAATGGTATTAACAATTTTTAAGACTTAGTGAGCACAACTGCATCATAAACAGAACCGTTAGCAAAGTCATCCACCAGTAGAGCTAGATTAGATAGAGCCGAAACAATATTTTAGAACTCCACCCTTTTGCTATACAAACAAATTTCCTCCTCCTTTCCTTTTCGTACCCCTGCGATGTAACAAAAAGAAAAAGAGAAGAAAAGGAAGAATTTTTCTTCGCACGCATTCTAAAACATGTATACATATTTTACATAGAAACATGTAAAGTTGGGCAATTGAAAATAGAACTAATAAAGGCAATATAAGAAGAAAAATTTTCATTAAGCGCATAGTCAATCATACAACTTTTGATAATGTATCCATCATGTGAAGTCACTTTCCCTTATGACTCTTGTTATCTAAGTAGACCTTCATTGAGTACTAATTCATTTTGACTTGCTTCGATGCATTACTTCTTATCAATTAAAAATATTAGACAAAAGCAGCAATCGATCTGTCGATCATTATTACCTTTCCATCTTCAAACATCTGTTCCCATACCAAGCACCAAGCGGAACCAAGTCCAAGGAATCACTTAGCCCTTCCACGTAGTCCCTCTTGACCTGCAGACAAGTTCCAGGATTAGGATTAGGATTAGAGCTCTAATCTTGCTAGTGCAATATATCATTCTTCGAGGCGACACCTTTAACCATGCATTAGTGCGCTTTGATGGTGTGTACCCAGCATCTATATCAAGGGATTTCACCATGATTCCTTCACAAGAAGAACGTAGCGCATCATCAAGAAAGGTGTTCATCCTAGCCAAAGTGGCTTCGTTATCTGCACAAGAATCATCAGACTCTACCTGAAGAAAGATAGGTTAGGTAAATTACTAAATAGCTGGCAACAGAATGCTCATGTTACGTACTAACCAACAAAACAAAATTATGCACCAAGAAGAAACTTACAGTCATTTTCAACTCGAAATAACCCACTTGCCGTCACCAAATAAATCCTTCAGGTCTGATTTTCACACAGAAAATTTCAAAAACTAGGAGGACGATTTTACAATATCTATAAGCACTAAACTTCTACACTTATCGAAAGAAATAAAGATGCATACATTTTCGCCTTTGACGGAGTGGCAGATGCAACAATCTGTAGCCAAAGAATTTTACAGTTATGGAATCCTAAAAGGGATGTCTCTTCTTACTTAGGAGAATAGTTGATAAGCTACTCCCTTGATACTGTTTGATTGGGTACATGTATATATATTATTTGTGATGAATGAGAAGTTATTTTAATTACTAATGTAACACAATATACAAAGCACATCGAATATATTCTGCATGGTGCATGCCTATTAGGTAGGTATTTTCTTATTAGTTTAATATTTTAGTTAACTCAGTTGAAGTCTTTTTTTTATGTTTAATACATTGAGACTAATGAAAGGAAAATGAAGCATCTTAGCAGCTTCTGATAGAGATTGTAGGGTGATGTAACAGGCAAGTTGCTTATCATTGGTTGGCGTGCTTTATAAAATGGGTAAAGGTGGCTATCTTTGAAACACATGTAATCACACACGCACACACCTAGATAGATTGAGATTGAGATTGAGATGGAGATGGGTGGATTTAAAGAAGAGTTGATTTTCTGCACTACATGTCTGTGAAGTGTGACATTGAAATCTGAAGCTACCTATCACTCAAAACCTAAAGACGTGTTAACTCCTTTTCATTTCCTATTCACTC